AAACAGCCCAAAAACACCCCAAAAACACCCCCAAAAACAGCCCAAAAACACCCCCAAAAACAGCCCAAAAACAGCCCAAAATACCCCAAAAACACCCCAAAAGAGCCCAAAAACACCCCAAAAAACAGCCCAAAACCAGCCCAAAAACAGCCCTAAAATAACCCCAAAAAACAGCCCCAAAACACCCCAAAATTCCCCAAAAACACCCCCAAAACCAGCCCAAAAACCAACCCAAAATTCCCCCAAAACACCCCAAAAACACCCCAAAATTCCCCCAAAACACCCCAAAAACACCCCAAAAAACAGCCCAAAAACCGCCCAAAAACCACCCCAAAACACCCCAAAAACACCCCAAAAAACACCCCAAAAAACAGCCTAAAAACACCCCAAAAACACCCCAAAAACACCCCCAAATTCCCCAGAAACACCCCAAAAATACCCCAAAACTCCCCCAAAACACCCCAAAACCACCCCCAAAACCAGCCCAAAAACCACCCCAAAATTCCCCCAAAACACCCCAAAAACCAGCGCAAAAACCAACCCAAAAATACCCCTAAATTCCCCAAAAAACACCCCCAAAAACCACCCCAAAATTCCCCAAAAATACTCCAAAATAACCCCAAAAATCAGCCCAAAATAACCCCCAAAACCAGCCCAAAATTCACCCAAAACACCCCAAAAAACACCCCCAAAAACACCCCAAAAACCAACCCCAAAATACCCTCAAAACACCCCAAAAACCAGCCCAAAACACCCCAAAAACCAGCCCAAAAATACCCCAAAATAACCCCAAAAGTACCCTAGAAAAACCCCAAAGCTACCCCAAAAATACCCCGAAAACACCCTAAAAACACCCCAAAAACCAGCCCCAAAATACTGCCAAAACACCCCAAAAAACAGCCCAAAAATACCCCAAAATCACCCTGAAAACAACCCAAAAAACAGCCCCAAAATACCCCCAAAACACCCCAAAATAACACTAAAAATACCCCAAAAACACCCCAAAAAACCAACCCAAAAATACCCCAAAAACAACCCCCAAAATATTCCAAAACCACCACAAAATACACCCAAAAATAACCCAGAAAAACCCCAAAACACCCCAAACACACCCCAAAAACCAGCCCAAAATACCCAAAAATGACACCAAAAATACCCCAAAATAACCACCAAAATAACCCCAAAAGTCCCCCAGAAAAACCCCCAAAATACCCCGAAAATACCCCAAAAACACCCCAAAACAACCCCAAAACCACCCAAAATTACACCAAAAACACCCCAAAAATAACCACCCAAAAACACCCCAAAACCCCATCAAAGCCCCATCAAAACCCCTTAAAAAAAAACATTAAAACCCCATAAAAACGCCCCCAAAACCCCATAAAACCCCCCAAAAATCCCCCGAACCCTTTAAAAACCCCACCAAACCCCAAAATTGCCCAAAACCGCCCAAAATTGCCCCAAAATTGCGAATTCCCCGCAGGTACCTGCGGCAGTACCTGGCCGATGTCTTCGCCGGCGCCTGGGAGCCGCGGGAGCTGAGCCCGCTGCCCGTCAGCGTGCCCCGCGCCAGCCCGAGAGAGGTGAGAGCCAAAAACAGCCCAAAACAGCCCAAAACAGCCCAAAAACACCCGAAAACCACCCGAAAATACCCCAAAATACCGCAAAACACCCCAAAATACCCCAAAAACACACAAAAACGCCCCAAAATACCCCAAAAACACCCAAAACTGATCCCAACAAACCCCGAGAGAGGTGAGAGCCAAAACCAGCCCGAAACAGCCCGAAACAGCCCGAAACACCCCAAAACAGCCCAAAATACCCCCAAAATACCCCAAAAACACCCCAAAACCACCCCAAAATACCCCCAA